TGTGATTGGTTAATTGCTCAGGGATTTTTGAAGTTTTCTATCATTCTTCAAATGTAGCAGATTTGTGGGGGCTGTGCTCATCTCCCTGGCTGCCCAGGTAGCGTCCATTGTTAGGATGTTTGAAGTGGGTGAGTGTTACTCATTTACCACAGCTAGACCACTCACACTGCCTTCTGGCTCCTGTTAAAGCTGCTTTTTTCTTTTTTTAACCAACATTGCTAATTCATACTGATTTCGCTCATGCACCGCCTTATTCACAGGAGGGAAAATGCACTGAGATGCTGATTGTCCTCCTTCTGACCTGCTCATATTTTGTTGAAGTTCCCGATGCCCTCAGAGAAACAGCACTCCAGGCCCTGTAACGTGAAAGCCCTCCTTATCACACTCCCTGCAAGTTAGCTCCCTGCTGTGATCGCAGCCTCTGTTCTCTGCACTCACTCTGCCCTCTAGTGTTCGTCAGGAGGCAGTGCACTGATTGCTGAATAAAAATCCATTTAGACTCCCAAAAGGTGGAGGACAGTAAATGGGCCATTTTTCTACCATTTTCTGAGACAGCCTTTCATCATTTCAGCACATCTCTTTCTAGTGTTTTCTTATTGTAGCCTGAGTGGTAATGGAGCTCTTGACTGGAGTTCAAAATAGAAGTTGGTGTGGAAATTTTCTTTCAAGGTTTGTCTCCAAACTTTCTCTCTCTTTTTTTCCTTTAAAAAAAAAAAAAGTTATAGAAAATGACAGCAGCCGATTGTGCTGTATCCCCTCCTACATGAGATATATACACTGCATCAACAAAGAGTCATTATACAAGTTTTGAAACTCCTCAACTAAATATTTGAATCCTGGCAAAAACCAGTAAAAAACATTCACAGTCAACAGAGTATGAGTTCTGATGATCTTTTGCGACTTTTATGCACCACAAGAAAAGTCTTAACAGCTGCTGAATGGATTGCCATGAGATTAACCTCTTGTATTCACTGAATCACAAACATGTCTTTCCAAACAGGGATTTGCAATGCTAACAGCAACCGCAGCTAGATGGAGAGACGTTTACTTTCTCCAGGGAGGACTCTTCCCAGGAGAGTTGAAGCTTGCTGTCTTCACCATCATTTCTCATAGGAGCCAGGACTGTCTAATAAGAAGTGCAGCTGTTGCTCTGGAAACACTATCAACCCACCACCTCAGACCAAATTTGCACTAGCTGAGTAAAAACATTGGTCCAGATATGGGTAAACGTGAGCTACTTTAGCTACATTGTGCTAAAGTAGGTATTCAAGTACAACTCGTTCCTAAATTTACTGAAAAAGATTTTGACACACATGTGGGTTTTCTTAATCTACCTTCTCAACTGTGTCTGTGTAAGTTCTCAATGCTGAATACTTGAGTTCAAGGCAGGTTTATGAAGATGTGTCACTCTCATCCGGGAGGCTTTATCGGTTCTAAAAGGTGATGGGGAGCACCAAGAATTTCACTCCCAGTGAGGTAGTGATGGTTCACCATCAATGAACAGAGGTGGTGGCCTTTGAGACCAGCTATAACTCAGTCTTGAGATCCCTTCCCTGGCAATTCAACCCCCACTCACACCTTGACCCATGCGACTTTAATAACTCACAGGAGGACAGCCTAGGTCATCATGTGACATGTCTCAGGACTACCTCCAAGGTTAAAATGCATAGGTGTTAAATACCTGTTCCTTCACTTCGGCTCTTAGAGGTGAAGAAGCCTCTTAGATGAGAGATGAAACATCTTCATGAAGCTATAAAACAAGTCTAGTTGGCTTCGACTCAGACATTTGAAAGGTTTCCATACCTGTTTCAATCCAGAAGAAGTTTGTAGCTGGCCATTAAACCCCTCAGACATTTTCCCAAGTTGCTATAACCCAAACACGGCTAAAAGGAGTATTGGACACAAATATGTTATAGTAATAAGCCGGTATTTTATTTCCAAGTTGTTGGTATGATGATTTTTACAGCTTATTATTTTGTGTGAAAATGCATGTTTCTTAATTACTCTTTTGTCTGCTTAGCTATATATGGATCAAATGAAATTATCAACATTTTGTGCATTAATGTAGATGTTTAGGTTTTGACAGTATTGAGTCGTACAGTGAGAGTTTGTGGCTGCAGACCTACTGACATGTGGAGGCAATGTCAGCTGTTTCTTACAGTCTTATTCACAGCAGAACAAACACCTTCAGTGAACAAATCTCTGTGAAGTACCTTCTCTTTTTATGGGCATTTTCATGGGCAGCTCGTGATAAGTAAACAGTGGTTCTAGCAGAAGCTAGAGAAGTTATTTGCTCAAGGTTTGGCCTGCTGGGGGATAAATGGCTTTGCCCAGCAGACAGCAAAAATCATTAGTACACCCTGTTACTAGCTGCTGGTATTTCAAAGGATGTTAATCAAATCTGGCCACCTATGTAAGGGTACATTTCACTGGATGGGCCATTAGACTTGTTTTCAGAAAACTTTCAGGAGTAATTTTTGTGTGGGAAAAGAGGCCAGAGAGGCGGTGTAGTTAAATGTTTTTTTAACAATGTTCTTCTCTTGTATTTTATTAGGTTTAATTTCCTTTATTTTAGTTTATGTATTAATTGTGTGCTTGCACTGAGACTAAGGGCTGAAACTGTGTTTAGGTTATTTTGAAATTACGAAATCATGGCAACAGCAGTTTTAATGTCAAATGAAAAGATGAAAAAGTAAAGAAATTATATATAAATGTGTGAATGCTGAGCGGCGGAGGCTGTGTTTTTACTCCGAACAAGGCCCCAACCCAGTTTCGATTCAGTCCCGGTGTCTCAAATGTTCTCCCCGACATATCAGCCACAGGCAAATTGGTTTCAGTTCACTACAATCGTATCAGTATTTACTTTCGCCTGACTGGCTGCTGGTGCCACAACGATACGCAGCACCCACCCCAACAATGCTGTCATCCAGTATCGTTTAACAGCCTGGCAGAGGCATAGAACAATATTTAATCTGCAGATGTTGTGCTTCTAAACTGAAGCCATTTTTACAAGTCTAACATACAGTTTAGTGAAGAATAACGCTCAAAATAAATCTTGAAAGTACCATGTTAATGCAATCATCTAAGCTGATAAAAGCAAAACTGTTGTGGGTGCAAGCACATTTTAATGCTTTATTTCCGACTGTTTCTGTTCACCTCTCCTGGGGAAAGATTCAGAGTGAATCAACAGAGTGAAATGCTTGAGTGCTACCTTGGATGACAGACAGAAGTAATCGGCAGTAAGTGGGAGAAGCATATTTACATCTCACAGTATCCTGCCTGCTGCTACTGACACGCCGGGCTTCCCATCTTCAGGACATGGCCTAAACCCGCATGCCCTGTTCTGAAATAACCTAATTTTGTCAGTTATTTAAAAGAAAGAAAACAAGTCCAAGTACATGGCAGCTTATTGCAATTTGTTCGAAACTGATCGATTCAATTATAACATAACAGAATAAAAATAATCATATTAAACCAGAAAAGCTGTCCTCATCTTTACAAGATTGTCTTAATGATATCATTATCGTTATTGTTTCTTGTTATGTCTTGACTATAACAACATATCTCGGACAAAAATATGACCAGAAACTGAGATGATGTTATGTTACAACAAGAAAGGGTCGTACTTCATTGAAACCTTTGTAATCATTAGCTAAATACTTTGGATCCCATCTCACCAATATGGAATTGTTTACACAGCTTTTGTATTGTCTGTACTGTAAATTTGCATTTTTCCAATATTTGTCTTTTCCTGCATCATTCTTGGGGGGGTGTAAGTGATGATTCAATCCAAAAGTTTCACATTTACCCATCACTTCCTGTTGCTATGATTTTCAATTTAGTTCTTGGGGGATTTGGTCTCTTGGTTTTCTCTCCTCTTCCTTAAAATATTCTTGAGGTTGTTTTCTTGACAGTCGCCCTTCTACTGAGACCATTTCTGTTGAGGGTTTAGCGAACAGTAGATGGATCAACTGGTCCCTGAAAGATTCTTGTCAGTTTTGAATGGTAGCATGTTGGCTAGCTTAACAACTTTGCAGAAAGTGCTTATGACGTTATGATTAAATATTAAAAGACTGCTTGTTTTTTGAAACTTTCAAGAGGCGTGTGCTGACATTTGCAAACAGAGTCTGCTTTGTAATGCCTGACTGTGCAGTTTCAAGCTCCAAATGTGAGCACGCCCCTCTTGAGCCAAGTCCCCACAATTGTTCTGTCTTGTATTGTTCTGGATTGTTTGGCTTTGGCTTTACTTTTGTAAAACAGCAACGTAAAACCTAATTTTCAAGCTACTGTCACTCAAATCTGACCAAACCAAGTCTGAACAGTCCAGGTAGAAAGAACCTATTGGACTTAGTTATAAAAAACCAGTCTGCACACTATGTGTTCAGATTCGTTCAGAATCAGGAAGTAGGTCACTCGTGTACATGTGACACATTTATTGTGGTGACGTGTTTAAAGCAGAAGAAAATAGTGTAAAAGGATCAATTTCATGGCATGACTAAAACATGACCTTGAGTGTTTGTTAATCTAAAATCAAATGAAGTGGTCTAACTTTATTTCTTTTTAGATTAACAAACACTCAGACGATTGTTGTATAAAGCACTTGGAGTGTTCCAAAAGAGTAGAAAAGCGCTATATAAGAACCAGTCTGATTACCATTTCTACCCAACAAATCTGGTATAGAAGCTGAATGACCTCCTTCTCCAAATTTACCAACAGACCATCATCATTTCCTCATTTTAGATTGTCAAAGACCATTTACACAAACTCACAAACAGACTTCCAACCCTCTACACGACGAACACTCCTTACCAACATTAATCGACACTGATACCGATACGCTCCACCCAAATCTGTACATAAGTGCAAACACGCGGGGTTACTGGTAAAGTCCTTTTAGACTTCATACTGGACGATATCATATTCAAACACAGCTGCAGTGCTGAGGAAAGGCTGAACTGAGAGCACTTTACGGTTTCCAGCGGCAAAAAGAAGACGGCAGCATGGCGGCCACGTTGTGTCAGGGTTTAGGCTTCGTTCTGAGTTTGATAGGAATAGCGGGAATAATCGCGGCGACAGGGATGGACCAGTGGGCCACACAAGACCTCTTTGACAACGTTGTGACAGCCGTGTACTCGTACTCGGGCCTGTGGAGGTCCTGTGTTAGGCAGAGCTCCGGCTTCACAGAGTGTCGACCATACTTCACCATCCTCGGCCTGCCAGGTACGTTTTAAATCAATAATTAATTCAGAAAGAAGAACAATACAAAGAACCACGTTTGGCGCGTGTTTGTCACACCCTGTTTCAAAAGGAGGGGAAAATGTGCTCCCCACAGTTTCCCGAAACCTGGAAGTAAGTCTTGGGTAAACATCAGATAAGGTCTGTTCCATGTCGAAACCTACATAACAGCAGGCAGCAGTCAAACACTGCCATTTCATGACTGTCTGACTCTGGTGGTAACTCAGTTTGAGTGGAAAATCTAAAATGGCTGCCACAATGACCCAGTTAATAGGATTCATGTTGTCGGCGTTGGGCCTGTTTTTAATATCGGCTGCAACAACAATGGACGAGTGGAGCTTACAAGACCGATCTTTTACAGTAATAACAAATTTTTATACCTATTCTGGTTTATGGAAGTCGTGTGTAGGGACGACGTACGGTACCACACAGTGTCGGCCTTATTTCACCATACTTGGCCTGCCAGGTAAGAGAATTACACTCCAAGAGAAAAAGACATTTATCAAATATTTCTCGACATGTCGGATTAAGGAGAACATTTTCTAAAGGACCTCGGAAGGTACTTTAGAATATTTGGGAGGTTTTAGGGCAGATTTTCCCCCCCGTTTCCACCCCCTGCCACTTTTCCGACCAGCCCTGGAATAAAAATGCAGTCGACTGCAGAAAAGATGGTGTCTCTCCGGAATCAAATAGAAATTTGATGAGACATCCAAAGCTTAGCTGAGCAAGCACAAGCTTTAGCAGAGTGTCACACAATGTAAAGTACATTTCCACACTCTGTACTTAACAGCTGAATGTAGTGTAGAGCATATTGTATATAAGGTCTTAAGGGATTAAATCTAGAATAATGCAGGTACAATATCTGAGGACGCTGAAAGATGGCATTTAGTTCAGTGTGTTTCACCACACGCTGCTTTGATTTATGAGCGCTGGAAAATAACTGTAATGTGCTTTTTTTTCTTCCTTTTTTAAAAATTTTAATTGAAAGTGAATGCCGTGAGTGTCGGGCTTTTTCTGCCTCTATTCATGATGCACATGTGCATCAGTAAAACTAATATTATTTACTATTGCCGGGGCCCTTTCAGAGACTTTTTAGAACTACTGCTAAACTTGTAATTCAGCCCAGTTATTCTTGTATATCTATGGATTCATATATTTCCATAATATATGTAGAAGAAGGTAGAAATCTTTGCATAATAGTTGATAGTATTATGCTGTAAAACACCTTGATCTCTTTTTGTATTACATTTTAGTCATTTTAACCACGGTTTTCGAACTAATTACGAAAATAAAAGCAAGTTCAGTTTCTAATGACGATATCTCTTGTCTCTTTTATGCCAGAAAATATCTTCAGCGGAAACTTTTAATGATAGCCGACCTGCCGTTTTCCTGTGACAAAATATATTGAACTATTGAAGCTGCTACCTTACAGTTATAATTAGTTTCTAGTGTGTGATTTGTATTATGGTGGCCATGATCAAAGACGTACTCAGAAGTAGAAGTACAAAAATATAATTAGCGAAAAGTGGTTTTTAAAAAGAGCTTCTCATGACTGGATGAATATAAATGATGCTGAGTAAAAGTTAATTTAAACCTTTTAATATAATGTTGCATATTCAAATCATAATCACATTTTTTGTATATATTACCTTTAGTACATAATAACTGAAGTTGCACAAGGCACAGTGTTGCCTTCTAAAACATACAGCGCAGTACATTAACCATAAAAAGAAGATATTTTAACATGCATGCTTAACTTGCAACACTCCAGAAATATTTAAACCTAAAATTTGAACTTATGTATTATAATACATTTCAATTTTCTACTCATTTGAAATATATTTAGGTTTGGGTTGTTTGAATATTGTATATCTTTTATTTATTTAAACTCATTGAGTTAATTGTCAGCATTTTCTTTTTCTGTTTTCATTTTCTTTTTGATAAATCTTAAAGTATCTACAAGGTAATACCAATCTCACAAACAGATGTATCCTAAACATATGCTAAATGTCATAACTTTGATTTTCAGCTCTGCTCCAAGCCGTCCGAGCCTTGATGATTGTCGGGATTGTCCTTGGCGCTATCGGCTTACTGATCGCCATATTCTCACTGAAGTGCTTGAAAATGGGGAACATGGAGGACAACTTGAAAGCCACCATGACTCTGTCGGCTGGGATCATGCTTCTCCTTGCAGGTTACTTCACTAACAATGCTCAGGTGATATCGAAGAAGAACGGTTTTGCGATAATACCAGCATTAATTCTGATTTTTTTCAGGTGTCTGTGGGATTGCTGGGGTGTCAGCCTTTGCTAATTTGATTGTACAAAGTTTTCAGTTCACTACATTTGCCAGTGGATTCAGCAATGTTGGTGGAATAACAGGAGCTCTGACGCCAAGGTAAAGATAAACTGAAATTAGCATATATATAGTAATATATTACCTGCTGAATTAATTTTGGTAATGTTTAACCTTAATAATCTTTCAGGTATACTTTTGGCCCTGCACTTTTCGTGGGTTGGATCGGTGGCGCTATCTTGTTCATCGGTGGCATCTTGATGTGCCTGGCCTGCCGTGCAATGACGCCAGAGAAACAGCGGTAATTTATATCTATTTGTGATCTTTAAAAAGATTGGTAGGGACAGTGGCCTCTCTGTTCCCGAATAATAAAGTAGCAGAGATGTGAAAACTGAAAAATAGGGCAAAATACAGTACGCACACAGATTATATTTTCAGTGTTTGATGTATGTGACGCTATCCCTCAGGTATGATGGGATGGCCTACAAAGCTGCCTCCCAGAACACGATGTACAGGCCTGACACCAGATCCCAGCCCGTCTACAACGACTCCTACAAAGCTCAGAGTATGGATGGAAGGCAGACAAACCAGAGATTTGACTACGTGTAGAACCATGTCTGTTTTAATACTCTCTGTGATAACTTTTCTACATTGAGCATTCATTTTTTATTTCTCTCTACTTTAATTTGGAAGACCGGTTTCAGGCCTAATTTCATGTTACTTTTTCAAATGTAATCACAATTATAAAGTCTGTGCTGTATTATTTGTATGTGTGTCTGTGTTAAATAAAAGGTGATTCTTACCTGTTCTGACACTAAATTCAGTAGCACAACACATAACGCATATTAAACTCATTGGAGGAATGTGCAAATGTCATGTTTGACAGGGAAAAAAAATAAAAATAAAACAAAGGAATATTTGCACAGGTTCTTGTGCAGATTAGTTCTTAATATAAAAAATCGACCCAGTAGGGAAGCACTAAGATGCAATACAACAACTACTACTACCTATTGCTCCCACAGAAATTAAGAGGCAAGAAGCATCCAAATGTTAATCAAATTTTCTTGATTTACTGATTATCAGCAAGTGTGAGCGCCTCTACAAAAGCAGAGGTTTTGGCAGTTTGCTGGTCTTGAGCTGTCGGGCGTGTTTTGCACTCACATTTGCTTGTGGCCAATGAGGCAACCATGAACTGCATGTCAAAGTATTCTTCAGTCAGATTTGAGGTCATCTGTCTGGCAGCTAAAGCTTGGCTGAAACTGGGTCGTACAATTATGCTACATAATAACATACATGACAACAGAATGCCTGACAAAATAAAAGAATCAAGTTGCTGCAATGGCCTCAAGAGAGCTGTGCACAAACAAATGTCTTCAAGTCTCAAAGAACTGAGCAAAGTTGTACAGAAGAGTGGGCCAAAATTCTTCCACAACAACGTGAGACTGAGTCATACAGAAAATCATTCAAGTTAGTGAATCATGAGGTGGAGTTTGGTTTTTCACAGGAACAGAGTCTTGCGAAAACGTTCTTTTTCACATGATCCACCTCTTGTTTTAAATGCTCCAAAGTGTTTTTTACCCGTTTTGTTTGTGATATTATGTCAGTAACATATCTTCTACTTACTTGGATGAAGGTCTGTTTCCAGGTTGGGGCTTTCCAGTCAAGGTATTAATAGACAAACCTTTGCTATGTCTTTTGAGGAATTTAGACACACATCAGCTCAGTGGAACCACTGTTAAATTGTATCTGAGAGCCCCTTTAAGGGAACCTTTCTTTTCTTTACAAAGTCTTACAGAGGCTCTTTATGGACCCTTCCTTAATATCATACTATTTTTTCAAAATGCAGCTGCTGTTGCCAGCTAGCTTAGTCAAAGTTAGCATTAACAAATTAGCATTAGCTTGCTAATGCGTCCCCATTTTGAACTGGAGTGGAAAAGATAATATGTTTGCCACATTAGCCTGATACTTTAATAAATAAACAAATAATAAATAAATAAAAATAGCAAATGTCATGTCTAATTCTTGCCTAACTGACCAAATGTTGTTATTGGTACTATTGGTTAAATGGAATTAAAGTTTATTTTATGAATGTATTATTTTAATGTGCATTCATACATGCAGCAAAGTCATACCTGCTCTAACATGACTAACCTTAAGGCCTTTTATCCACCTAAAACTACTGTTTTAGGGATTATTTTACAGCCTATAAAAATACAATGGCTTTGTTTTTACAGAGGCTAGTTTACTCTCCTCTTGAGCATGAATATAGCTTCTGGGTCTGAAAAGTAAAACAAATGCAAATGTATTTTGAAGGGGCCACTCTTCTGGTTGTGAAAAGAAATAATCTCAGTCAGAATCTGATAGACAACTCAGCAAGTGTTATAAAATACCAAGATCTGCTACTGTTTTCCAGACAGGACTTTATTAGCCAGAGCTCCCTCCTCACTATACAGTCTATGAGCCAAATATATTGAAGTGTTTACTTTCTAGGTTACTGGTTATGTTCTAATGGTGCAGCGACATTTAGTAGGTTTGTACAGTTTGAAACTAACCAGTGGAAAATGAGGCTTGTGAAATGTACATGTAATGTAGTAATTAATTTAGGGACAGCTGATTTTTCATAAGACTGCACCATAGTTTTGACACTCTTATACTTTGAAAGTTTTAACATGATTAAATTTTCTGCACTTTGTAAAATGTGTACTTGAAAGAAAGCTTGAGAAAAATGAAATTACATTTATCAAAAGCCAAAACAGTTTATTTCTGCTTTCATACAAGTCATGCTCCAACCATCTGAAACAACACTCATATTGATTATTGTGTTGTTTATCCTATTAGCGTTATCAAAACAAGTGGTCATCAGTTACATGTTATCTCTTGCCCTGCAGCGCCCAATGATAAATACAATTACTTTCACATTGTTTCAGTGTAATTGAATAAAATCTGTGCTCCCTCCTCAGATAGATGCTGTGTCTTTGGTATAATCCTTGCTGACTGTTCAGATGTAACAGGACTGATCTTTCATACCACGACAGCACAGCTGTCTGTTACTCTGCTGGATTATGCCCTTAAATCCAGCAAAGAGAGTTTCAGTGATTTGCATGAAATCACATTTCTTGATAATTGAAATTAATGAAAGTAATAAGTAGTAGTTACATTTAATAACATTTAATCACTCTTAAAGCGAGTCATTAATTGTTTTAATTTAATTTTAAAGGAAGTTATTGAGACTATGAGACAACCCTTTTTAAGCTTCTTTTCTGCTTAACAATTTTTGGCACAGCAGAATCATGTTCTATTTTCTTTTCCTAAAGCTTCACCAGTTATTAAGTAAATGTAACTGCGTTGGGATTGCAAAGTATTGCTCATGCATTACTTATTAACTCCTTAAGAAAAGTAATTTGGCACATTAACAGTATGAAACCTCACGTGTTCATGTGTTACACCTGATCACTGCAATTTTGCAATTTCAATCTTGTCCTTTCTGCAAAGCAAATTCACAGTACTTTGATCTAAAGTCACAATTATGGCAAAAAAAAAAAAAGGCCTAAACTAAAGTGATACAATTGTTTGATGAATAATAACAAATTGGGCAATGATTTTATGAACAGTGTTTCTTTAGACAAATAATATGATTACAATAATGTATTGCTTTTTTTTCTTGCCCCTTCCTTACAATGCATGAATATTTTAATATTTTCACCGACACCTAGGCACCAGGGATTACTCTAGAGTTGAATAAATTAGCTGATTAGTTATTTGGCAGAAAATTAGTTTCTTAAATGTGAATATTTAATCCTTTTGCATGTTTCTGTGGTAACTCCACATTTGGAAGTTTCTGAAAGTTAGTCAGACAACTAAAGATGTCTAAATAGGTTCATTTGGCACTTAAAGAATAATAATCCCTGTTTTTTGTTTCTTTCTGACATTTCATGCACAGACAGATTTCAGATATTCAGATGTTTTACAAATACACCTGACGACTGGCTGTAGTCTTGAAGTTCACTATGAAAAATATTACCTTTCTGGAGGACTTCTAGCCTGAAGTCCATTGAGGGTCCAAAAACCAGTAATCTAAAGCTTTGCAAGGCCGGGGCCACAAGGCCGAGCATGGACCCATTATATTTCATAGTGCTCTTCAGTAACGTCCAGCGGACAGGGCCCAGTTTCCATCACACTGGTCTTTGAAAAATGGCTCTTTTACTGGAAACATGTCCTCATACCCGGACCTCTGGCACCACCTAGTGGATCAGTTCAGCATCACTGCTTTTTTAATGAAGCGTAAATTCACGATTGAAGATCTTTTTTCCTTTTGTTGTTCTTATTTCCTGATCACTCTAAGAATCTGATCTTATCTACAGTACCTTCCTTAAAAAAATGCAGGAAAACAAAATATTTGGGCGGTTTTTCTTTCTCCCAATGTTAGAAGCCTAATAATCATCCCTGTATGACAGTACAATCCAAACACTCCTGATTTTAAAATAGCAGGACCATAAAATAAAAACGTAAAAATATAGATAATTTGAATCCATGTGTCCATGTGCCCAGTGTATTACTCCAAATCAATAGAAAGTTGTTATGAGTGATGACCTTTATCCTTAAAATGAGGCACGGGGCATTCCACATCTATAAGGCGACAGTGGGTTTGGTGAGCACTACCATGATGAAATCAGTAAATGATTCTACTGCGTATCCAGGTCCAGGTGCGACCAAAGCACAATGATGCAGTTTTCCAAGAACATGTCCCAGCAAAGACAAAGATCTGTTAGTTATTTGACAGAAATACTAAGCTCAATTAAAAGTCTAAAAACTAGAAATGAGAACCTCTACATGACCACCGTAGTTGAAAAAAAAAAATGAATTGTAGTGGGGAAAAAAGTTAATAGAAGTAAAAATTCAAAAACAACAATAACTACTTTTAGCACTATTTAATGTAGAATATAATTAAGAGAGATCAGCCACAATATTAAAACCTTCTCCATAACACTAAAACAGCTGTAGCCAGTTGTTGAGTGGACAGCAGATCTCTGAAACTGGTTGCGTGGCATTAGGATGTTGGAGGTTAGACCTCTGGATCTCTGGGCTTTAGTGGTGGTACCGCTCTGACCTGGGCTGGTTCAGTCTGAGCAGATGTTGTCATGTGGCAGGGTTTTTTGTTTTTATCATTCTAGTGAGGTGTCGTTTAAAACCCTGGGTACTGGCTGGAATACATTTACTACACTTTAGTTGTTCTCAAACATCTTCTAGGGTCAAAGCTCACATCAAGTGGCCGGTTATACAATTTGACTTTGCTGTGTTCACTGAGAGGAAGCATCGAGATCCAACTCACAACACAGATTTATGAGGGAAACTAAAGGTTACCTGATACATCCTCAATGCTCTGATAACTCACTTTGGTATCTCCCCCCTCTTCCCTACTCACATTGGACAAGGAAATTAACTTATCTGAGAACAGCACACGTGCAATGAGACTTCTGTTTGACCTTTGAGGTGTGGATCAGCTCTGTTACCACCACCTCATGCTTTTTTTTAAGCCCGAGTTCCGTCAGCAACCTGAACTTCTGCTGACAACGTTATCAGTACAATACCAAAAACATGCATTCACTATC